TCGTCATCATCACTTTGAGCCGTGCTGCCTGTGAGACCTGGTGGACGAGGCAGCCTCAGACGCTCATCAGCATCGTCCTGGGCTTTGTATTGAGGAGGCAGCGGAGGTCCAATAAGCTCTGAATCCGAGTCTGAGTCCGAGTCACTGTCACTACTGCTCTCACTCTCCTGTTTTCTTAAAAGAAAAACAAATACATAATTGTCAGTCAAGGAAAAACCTTATTATACACAGTGGAAGCCTGACCAAACTGTAATATAGTATTCCCAACGAATTAAACAAAAAATTCCTGGTTACCTGGAAGTAGCAGCTGCAGCCTTTTCTCTGTGGGTGTGGACCGATTTGGAGCTCTCTCCTTCCTCCTCCATGTGACTATCCTTCTGCCGTTCATCTAAGCAGCAGTTAGCAGTTATGGAAATTGAATGTCATGAGTATACTGGCCAAAACAATCGCAATTCATGATATTATCAAGATAACAATCAAGATATTCTTAAAGGTCCAGGGTGTAGGATTTAGTCACATCTAGCGGCGTAGTTGCAGATTGCAACTCAGTTGTTTCACCCTCCCTTTCCAAGTGCGAGGGAGAAACTACAGTAGTTGCAATATAGGCGAAAAACACGATCGGAGCGAGTGTTGTGTGGTTTGTCCGTTCTGGGCTACTGTACAACAACATGGCGAACTCCACGGAAGGCGAATGTAGATAAACAAAGGCTAATTCTAAGGGAACGAAAACACAACAATTCCAATTTCAGGTGATTATTCACTAATGAAAACAGACCTGTGAATATTATATTCCATTTCTGCCAATAGATCCTCCTAAATATTACACATTGGACCTTTATTACTGTAATAATCTATACATTTTTACTGCCACCACAGATAGGACACCTCATCTCCCTGTTGTTCTTTAGTTTGGAATCCATAGTATTTCCACACTCTGGTTTAACTTTTTTTTTTTTGTAGGGGATACAATGGGGCAGGCTGAGGCTTTTGTAATGACTGGAAAGATGCGGGCTCCCCCTTGTGGAAATTCAAAATAAACCAAGAAATCAATTCAGAACTGTGCGTTAGCAAGCTAGACAGCTATTTTCAAGTAAAGCCATATGAGGTGTATTTACGATTATCATGATAATGGAAATTCACCATGATTCTTTATAGTGATTCACAATAAAGTCATATATTGTACCATCCCTAATTACAGTAGAGTAACACACACACTGGTGACAAGTCATCATGTTGGTAAACCTACCCAATACTTGCTGACTCCTCTCAATGGCTGTTCGACGGGTCTGTTCAAAAATGGCATCCAGGTCAAATGTGCGGGCCTTTTTACCTGGAGGGAACAAAGACAGCTTACCTGAGCAATAACTGACACAGCCCATATTGTCAGATTATAACACAAGAAATAAAAATGAGCATGTCAAATGTTTGAATGTTTATGCTGGACTGTACTTACCAAACCCAGAAAATCCCATGACTGATGAAATGTCTCCATCACTGCTCATCTTGCCTGCAAAAGAGGTGAAAGAATTTAGCCTGGGTTATCTTCTTCATCTTGTCTTCATCGACTCTCTTCAGTGACCCCTGAAAGGTCATGTTTGCTAAAGGGCTTAAAAGAGGGGGAAATGCTAAGTAAAAGTATATGGGTATATAAAAGTATAAAACTTATAAAGCCAAAAACAAGAATACAACAACAACGCAGCGATGGAAGAAGTATTCAGATCCTTTACTTAAGTAAAAAATACTTAATTACTGGTAAAAGTCCTGAATTGTAGAGCCCACTTAAAGCAAAAAAGTATCATCAGCAAAAAATACTTAAAGTATCAAAAGGAAAAGTACTTGTTCTGAAGAAAGCCATTGACTGTCTCATTATCATTTATTACATGAAAGATTGCAGAGCAGTGATATACCCATATCATCCTTCTCCTACAGGAAGTTGTATCTATATTTTGGACTTTTCTGAACTCTGCTTTGTTGTGAAATCTTGGATAATATGACCTCTTTGGGCTTCACTTATTTAAATGAAACCACGTGAGAAGTTTGGAGACATCTGAAAAGACAACAAGGAGCCAACACAACTACTCATTATGTATGGGTTTTTTTTTATAAGCGTATGTGCTTTATGTAACATAAGTGGAGTAAAAAGAATAATATTTACCCTTTGAAATGTGGTGGAGCAGAATATGCAGCTCAAAATTACTCGTAAGTAAAGTAGTCAAATAAACACGAAGAAAAGAGGGTGGATTAAATACCTTTAAAGTGTATACCATATTGCTCCCACACACAATGTATACATACTGAGGCTTTAAAATCTGCCTTCATCTAAACATACAGCTAACTGTTCCGTCTAGTATCTAGAAATACTGAACCACGGCTGCTGGCTAACAATATCATTTCAGCTTGAATGAGAAGAATAAGGTTACATTTAACACTGGTTGGAGGGACAATTATTTCTCGTTTCAAAGACAATTGCAGCTTTTTAATTGAAGCTGTGACTAGCAGTTGCAGTTAAATTATGGAAATAGGAGAACACAATGAAAGAGAGCATAAGCTAACAAATAAACTTAGCTCGCAAAAAAAACAGCAACGTTGCCTGTCTCTTTTCTCAAACTCAGCTTAAGGTAGCTCGCTGATAAACGTCCAACAAACTGGAAATAGAGCCCAATATACCTACACATATAAGCAATTCGTGTATAATTGATATACAAAACTTAAAAACGTGTGACAGCTAAAAGTTTCTACCTTCCTCCTCTTTGTCAGGATCCATGTTTTCAAATACGAAGATTACCTTTGACCTCCGGAAGTTCTTTCTTCTTCTTCGTCTGTTGCATTCGTTGCCGCGCAACTGTTTGGTGCTCCGAGTGTTTTCAGAGTGTATGACTCTTTACGTTGTGTACACTAAAGCATAGCTCAGTTAATTACAAAGATATACAAAAAGTGTGGACCTTTAATGCTGTATTACTTTATTTCAGTTTTAAATGTTATACTGTATATAAAAAAGATCATCATCTGTTGAGGAAAATAGCAGGTTGGAGTAGTTGGTAGATCCACTGCAAAATCCAGTGTATAAGGCACAGAATAATTCAATCTAATATTAAAACACATTTTGTGTGTTCCAGTGGGCTCCGTACAACAAATAAAATGAGAGGAAACAGCTTTGAAATGCTTAAATCCAGATATTTAATAGCTGGGACAGTCAAGTCTGTACAAAAATAAATTATAAATGTAGAAAACTTTACACACCAATGGCACATGCCGATATTTTTAAGAAGAGGACATTACTGCAGATGTCAGTGCAACAAAATATTCTATCACAAATTATGAAAATAAAATCGATTACATATCTACTGTAGGCACACTTTTTCAATTAAAAATCCATCTTGTCTCGTCTTGACATACAGTATTTAATATCACTGCTGATCATACTGAATTGATTAAACATATCTAAATTATAAAACTATATTATCGTAGTTTATAATGCGTCTGATTTACAATATACTCAATATGCACATAAAATCAAGGACGTTTTTTTCCCAGTAATATAACATCTTCTCAAGTGTCAGCAAGGTAAGAAAAGGTTTTTCTTTTTCTTGAGACGCTCAAGTTTCTTCTGCAGTCACCATCCTCTCGATAGCGGCCCAGTCTATTTTGCTGAGGCTGCTGCTGCCGGTTTCAGAAAGGTTGTCCAGCCAGTCCATGTCTGACACACCAGCTATGGCACCATCATCCTGCTCATCCAAAAGTCCAGACAAATCCTGAAAGGTATACAACACATGTATGAAACTGGACATGAAACCAAATCATCTATCAAAAGTATGCCATTTAAAATTATTATCCAAATTCTTAATTCAAGCAGAGGACAATCATTTGAGAGTGAACGGGAGGTTAGTTTCAATCTACGTTAGTTACATTCCTCTCAGATATAGGCTAATATCTAATAAAAAAATGTGATTTTTACTATGTTAGACTCCTCTGGGCCCAGGAGCCTATTCAATTCTGAGGCAGTCTCCCAAAGGTTCACCTCGTCTCTCTCTTCCATCCTCGTCTGTTCCCTCATGGTCCCTCTCCCTACAGCAGTCGCCCTTGAAGGACTTTTGTTTAGCCCCGTGTTTCTCTGGTATCCAACATGCTGTTCGTCACTCTGGCTGGCTGTGAGCGGTTTAGTGTGGCTCTTTGTGTCAGTGAGCATGCCACGTCTGGTCACCTGTGACAGACGGTCCCTTGGCAGAAAGGTAACTAACACAAAGTTCACATAAACAAGTTTAGTGAATTGCCATCAAAACAAGAAAAAACAATGCGCACCAACACACCGAGGGGACCGTTCGTGGCGCCATCTTCAATTTGATTATAATTGAATTGAATATAATAGCATGATCTACAGGGTATCAATGTAGCTGAATATCATTATGATACCTGGTCTATGTAGTCCCAGTCTCCTGCGGTGATCCTCTGAAGGCTGTCCTTGCATCTCAGCAGTCCATGGACGAAGATGGGCTTGAGCTGGTCCAGACTTAAGACTTCTTTTATCATTGGCAGATACACTGCGAGTCCTAAGAAGAAGACATTACCTCCATTACCAAATCCAGATAATTCCAGATTTTCAGAAAAGACAGGTTCGGGTTTGTACAGAATCTGATCATTGTGGGATAATTCACAAATGATTTGTTCAAGTGCTAGATCAGAGTACAATTATTCTTTAATGAGGCAAGATCCTGGTCAGATTACTTCTGGTGGAGATACCTGTGAGCGCTACTAGGTGGGGGAGCAGAGTTGCATCGTGTAGTCGAGGGTACAGGTGAACCTTCGGTCCGTGAGGAGCAGCGTAGGGTTGAAGGATTGATGGGAAAGTCATTGGCTATAGAACAAGCTTCACGGGTCCTCTGGTTGTATTGCTCCAGAAGCATAAACCTATTAAATCAAATGGAAATAACAGTTGTACACATGCACATCTCTTGCGCACAGACAATGTAAACAGGTACATACTTTTCTTTTTCCTCTCTGGTTCTCCAAATGGTTGCTCGATTCTTGTTTGTTGGTTTCTGCAGGGGCACAGCAGGTGAACAACAATGTATAAAAACAATATAATATTTTCAAAAATAACACGCAATAGAATATCACTCTTAGTAAAAAGGCAAACATATCATACCACTGTTCCAGAGGTAGAAAAAGGTCTGTGCTCCCTCTCTCTCAGGCTCTCTCTGTGTTTCTGATAAACAGCCAGTCTTTCCCGGTGTTTCCTTCTCATCCAGATCCTCAGCTCTCTCCTCTCGTCCTCTGGAAGGACACGTTTCTGCGACATCCAGCTACTTTGCTGCTGGTCCATCCTGCTGGGGGCCACGTTATGTTTCAGCTCAGTGATTATGATTTTTGTTTAGGTAGTCATTTGAACAGTACTGAATTTTAGTAGGTACCATACCTGCTACGGTGCGCAGTCTGTGAATTGGACAAATCCAGGTCAGCTGGGGATAAATACCCCTCCTTCACCAGCTCGTCTAAGATTTCTGCTGTATCGGATAGCCCAGTGTGACCCAGATTCTCATTGGCCCATCTAGAGATTGACAGGTAGAAGGCAGTGTATTGAAAAGTAGCAGAGGAAGGAAAAAATAAGTGAGGTAAAAACATCTGAGTCATAACCTGGTTAAAAGGCTCAAGATTTAAAAGACTTACGAAGGAGATATTCCAGATGTTTCAGCCAGCTGATCTCTTGTTTCTGTGGGAGCAACAGAAATATTAAAACAGATTTATACAAGAATAAAGAATACATTTAAAATCAATCAGACAGTGCATCAGCTGATTTCAGTCTACTTAAAGGGCCAATGTGTAACATTTAGGATGATCTGTTGACAGAAATGCATTATAATATTCATATATATATTTATGTTTTCATTAGCGTATAATCACCTCAGTATAAATATAAATATTTATGATATAATAAACACCGGCTGTAGACAGAGCATTTTGAGAGTTTTGCGGCCACCGTAGCTTCTCCTACACACTGCACTGCCTGTTCTCATTCCCAAGGTGTCAAATACAGATGCAAGTGGTGTTCAATTAGTTGCAATCTGCAACTTCACTGTAAGATGTCACTAAAGCATACATACTGGTCTTTTAAATCTCATTTGCATCTTTGGGTAAAAGCTAAAAAATATTTGACTTCATTAGTAGTCTTCATTTAGTATTCAGTATTGTGCCATATGTAGAAAATGTCTAACCCTAAGCCCACATTGCATTTACCTTTAGCACACTATTGATATTTCTATCCATCAACTATAAATACAGTTATTTACCACTGTGCTAGCCCCTTGTTTAAAGTAGCAACAATTTTTAAGAAATGTTTGATTAAATGTTTTGTTTTACTTGGAGGGGTGTAAAGGTAGGAAGGACCAGCATTGTGACTGTGAGAAAAAGATGGCTTCCTTTCGTCATTATGAACCACACATTCTTCTTCCTGATATTCTTCTTCCTCTTCAAAGGCATTTGGTTCAGTTGAAGTGTCCAGTTGTGACATCCATGCTGTTAGGGACAGAGAACGTACCAGAGTCTTTAATGTAATTCAAAATACAATCCCGTTTTGGCTTTTATTATAGATTAATAGTTTTAGGTCATACCTTCCTGTGGGACAGAGAGTCTGACAGTTTTTTGTTTTTTCTTCACTTCCGGATCTGAGAATGGTGTGAGCCTTTCAATAGTGTTCACCAGCTACACAGAGACAAAGCAGGACAGGCAAGGAATGATAGATTACATAACTTTGTCTGCCTTCGAAGCCAATTTGTAAACTTGGGTGTCATTAATAATATAAGCATGATAAATAAAAACACAACATGCTTATGTACCATCCTGGAGTTGGAGAAGTCCATCTCCAGATAGTCTGCAATGTTCTGTAGAGCGGCCAACTGAGCATCCAGCTCTGACAGGCGAGAGGAGAACCAGACTGTAGGAGGTATGGATGAGGCACTGTGAGGTCCAACGCTCTGGGACTTTATGGCTCGACAGATTTCAGAGTCAGACAGATCAACCAAGTCTTGTGAAGTGATTCTCTCTGGATCCATATCGGGCCCAATGTGGCTGTGTGATGGCGACTCCTCAGTGATATCTAGAGTAAACAGTACAGCAGATATTAGCACCAAATGTTACCGGTAGTGCTATGCTTCACCACGGATCCGACTGTATTCAGTATAAAAGACAGAATTGCTTTAAACGTAAACCCATACAAAGACCTGCATGAGTGTTGGGTTTCAGGAGATCCTCTGGAATTATGACAAAGGGTTGTGGATCAGCAACTGCAGCACTCCTAATAACAGAAGTTGCAAGTACATGAAGCTCAGCAGAAGTAGGTGAGGATGGGCGGACGGAAGGAACATCTTGTGCTTCTGGGCTGAGACTGGGTGGCAAATCCTGATGCAGGGCTTTGTCTTCAAGATCCAAGACACTTATGAACTGGCGGCCATTCAGATCCTGAGAGACAAAGACAGGGAAACAAATAAAAGTGAATTGAAATAAAAACATCCATTAATTAAAGTAATCCCTTGCTAAAATGTGTGTTTAATATAGAAAAGGCCCCTGCCACCTAGTTTGTCTGGCCTCTTACCAGATTATTCTCAGGTCCCTGTGGGGTCTCCTCTGGGTCCGGAACAAGGCGCTCTTTGAAAAGGTGCAGATTTCCTGAACTTTGTGCTAGATAGAGAAAACACACACATACACACATACACACACACACACACACACACACACACAATGTTTTACTTTTCATTATATCCACAACACATAAGAAGCATTGTGTTATTCTGTACCTGCAATTTCAAATCAACTTACATTTAGCACTACTAGCAGTCACAGAGGCAGACACAGCTTTATCCACAAGAGTGGAAGGACAAGCTGAGAAAGAAATAAAATCAAAAAAATAATGTTAAATTACTACATTTCTCAGAATTTAGGTTTTAGGAAACTTGCACAGAACCCCATTATTTTCAAGAAATGAAGGCAGAACAGAGAAGTGTTATTTCTAATTGATTGAAAAAAGATCAGTAATACTCACACACATTTTTGTTCAATTACAAAAACAAACAAAAACGGTGTAATAACTATTACAATATGAAGTGTCTAAATCCTGACCCAAACTCTAACTCACCTGGGTCTGTGTTGGTGAATGCATCATGGCACTCTGGGGGTCTTTTACACGTGGAAGCAAATGCATGTAGATCAGCTGAGGTGGACATGGCCTTGTCCAATAATCTCTGACCAGTCAGCAAAGAGTCAAAGGACCCTGGGAATTAAAGTTAATTAGAAAAAGAACAACAGATCAATAGAATTGAAAACATGTCATTATAATGTTCCACTGGTTCTATATTAATAATATGCTATAATGTCCAGTCAATAATTAGATAATACTGTGTGTAACGCATGTAAAACAAATATTTATTGCAACAGTATTGCAGCAGTTTATCGATGCATGTGATTAGGTAGGTATTAGGTATCTGACACTAACCAAACTGAATGGCAGCATTCTGTCCAGCAGCAGGCTCCTCAGATACGGCCTCATTTGCAGGCTGTAAATACATTAGAACAAATAAATTACACGTAAACATTGGTAATTGTACAAAATACTTCTTACTAGAATTAACATTATTCTACCTCTTGTGTAAGGATGATAGACTCGCTCGGTCTGAATGTGACCTCTGTTTTTCTTGCCCTCCCTGACTTCTCATCTCTTCTCTTCTGCCTGTAAACAAGACATAATGAGTATAGTGTGTAAAATAATCAACTTAAACAAACAACGAAAAAACAATAACATGAGAATGAATATGTGATTGCCTCTTGCTGGAGTTAAAGCTAGGAGAAGTGGTAGCCCTTCTAGTGCTTTCAGCAGACGGGTCTACTGTGAGCAACCGCGGTCGAGCCTCTTCAGCATTCTGCCTCCCCATCACTGAACTTGTCAACTCCTCCATGGAGATGAGACGAGTCGTTTGGGCTGAAGGAGCGGCCAGGGGCAACATCTGTGGCAGAGATAGATATATGTACATAAACCACAATGCAAGAGTTAATGATACCTAATTTAAAATCCTGAAGTAATGGAAGTATTGCTTGCCATTTTTGGTCCAGATTCTATATGTAGAAGCTTGATCATAGGCGCTTCTCCCATTGGAGCTGGAATGACAGTAGCAGGCCTGGAGGAATACGGTAAGGGTAGTCTGGGGAACGTGATGTTGTTTTGTGGGGCAGACTGAAAGTGCAGCAGGCGAAGGCCCTGCATTGGTGCAGGTGTGTGAGCTGGTAAAGCAGGAGAAAGTAGCGAGAAGCTCTGCTCTCTGAATTTCTCTGATGTCTGAGTCTTGGGTTGAGAGTACCCAGGAGAATCAAAGCTGAGTTGTCTTTTTGGAACCCAAGACCCATTTCTCTTTTCCTTTTCCATCTTCTTTGAGGCAGACTGGCTGTTGTTCTTATGCTTGTGCTGATGGGATATGGTTGCAGGGTTTGTGGTGTGCAGCGCCTGGGACCTTTGGGCTGGGGGATAGTGTGAGGCATTCTGGTGGGGCAATGGAGGATGTTGGAGATGAAGTAACTTCAGACCCAAAACCTGGGTGGCAGGATCACTTTGTACGCAATCATTAGAAAGCGGTAACACAGGGGCACTGTGAATGATGTCAGTAGTTGTCAGAAGCCCCTCTGTGGGTGGGATTAACCTCCTGCTCTCCCTAAACTGGATTTCTGGTGACATCGCTTGGACAGAGAGTGGCTGCATTTCCTGAAGAAAAACAAACTGTATTCAACTTGGTTTCACTGTGATTTAAGTATTGTTTACATACAAGAATAATGTGTCATTACTTAACAGAGCACTTGAACAATACCTGATAATTTACAACTTCACCAGTAGCAGTTGAGGGTCGATTCATAGTGGTGTGATGCTGGCCAGCTGTTGAAGAGGATATACCTGAACGCAGTCTGGCAGGCTGCTGTGCAAACAGGTATGAAGGGACCTGATCGAACTGAGGGTTGTTGGATCCTAAACTTTGTGCACATGCTTGTGTGTGAGGCGTCACAGAAATGGTGGATGGAACGGGTAAGGCATTTGGTTGAGGGATGAAATTGGTAGCATAAGAGGATGGCACATTATGGTGTGAGGAGTTCATGTTAGACTGGGCCAAAGACGAGCTCTGCTGGGCAAGTTGAAGGTTCGAAAATGAAGCTCCCAAAACCTCCATAAAGCTCATGTAGTTGATATTCTGTATTGATGGACAAAAACACTTGAAATCAGAATCAATTTAAGAGTCACTTGAGTCAAAACCTTTCCTTTCGGTAGGTTCTTACCTGAACCAGTCTGAATAAGTCTTCACCGAGACGCTGCCTCATTGGCTCAGTCTGAGTGGATAATGGCGGATTGGGGGCTGTAATATCCACAGTGGGTGCACCAGCTGTGGAGCTTTGTCGCTGAAGGCTTGGAGGATCCACAGGTGTGTTGGGGAGCAGCACGCCAGTTAAACTAGAAAGCTCTGCATGGACCTCTGCCTCTGGCTGGACAGTAGGAAGAGCTTGGGGCTCTGGGTGTGGGGCAGCTTGTAGGCTTTTAGCATCACTGTGGCTTGAACTACAAAACAGGCAATTTCAATATCACATGTCTAAAACGATTTTGTATGTTTTGGCCTAAGGTTTAACCACCAAAATGCTGATGTAGAAGTAACAGTAGAAATACAGTAGAAATAGTAAAAAAAAAACACAGTAGAAATAGCAGTGATTATGTTTAGAATTATATGGTTTGGTGTTGATTAATTAAAGTAAACATCTATAGTTAACATTATATAACATAATAAGACTACTTTCTTGCAACATAAATAGCTTAGCATCAAAAACTCACAGAGAGGCGGAACTGGACATATCCGCAGCATTTTCTGAGAAGTCCAGGTCTGCAAGCTTTAAACTCTGCAAAGGACAAAACAACAGTTATTTTTGTGTTTTGACATAGTTGATGACATATATGAAGAACAGGGATCCAAAATGGTAATATTCACCGTCTCAGGCGTGCAGATGTTTTCAGAGATGTTCCTATTGGAAACAGAGGACGACACTTCCAAGCCCTCACTCTCAGTACTTTTGCCTACAAATATCCAACATATCAGTCAGTATTCTCTGTTATGAGGGTCTGCATTACAAAAACACTTTGATCATCCAATATAACTCTTATTATCATACCTTCTTTTTCAGGTGTTACATCTAAGTCATCGAGAGATGGTTGTTGTAAACTGGATTGTCTCTGCTGATCATCAAATATCAGTTGATCCTGGTCAGTAGGGAGAGGTGTCCTGTGAAATGTCAGTTCCTCTGGTTCATCTGTATGTGTAGCACTGCAGGGAAACAAATTATATATAAATACAACAGATTATTCATATTTACAGTAAAACAAAAAAGAACAATGCTATGTTATATGAACTGTTAGTGAGATTAAGCCATGTGAAATGCTGAATAATTTCAAAATAAATACTTAAATATCTATCTTTGCTAGTTTCCATTAAGTCCAATAATAAGCCGCTGTAATCAAAAACATGGGGCACTCACATGGACAGTTCTTCTTGCTGTTGATTGTGATCAAGACCAGCGATGGGAGTGTTGGCTGATCCAGGGTAGCCTGTATCAACACTGCTCTCTCTCTCCAGCTTCTTATTCACCTCATGTTGCAGCACAGGGGCTACAGTCCATTGTGTTTCTGGAACTTGGATATGGGCACTGTACCAGTCAGACCCGAGTAAAGCAGTGTATCTGTGCTGCAGCAAGCTGAGGGAAGTGAGGACGGCAGGTGCCGAGGCTTTGACACGAATCACTACACCTTCATCAGCTGTTCCGCCAACCCCTCTTCCCCTCTCTCTCTTCTTTTTGCCATGATGTCCTAGTAGCACCCTCCTATCGGCCCAGCGTACCATCCACTCCAGCAGCCTGCCCAGCTCTGGAAACTGAGCCTCTAATTTAGGGTCCAAGCCCTGCTGCAGTTCAATCACAGCTTCCATAGAAGTTGGGGAGCCAAATATCAAGCTCTCTGATGGCTGCCCTGTGGGAAAGGCACTTTGTATAGGGTTACTTTCAGAACCAAAACGACCTCCCTTTATTCTTTGAGCCAAAGGCACACTGCTCTGCTGTCGAAGGCCAAACAAACCCTTCTCCCTGCCAGTTATCAGCCCAGGAAGAGAGTTGACAGAAAGGCTAGTTCTGGATATGGGTGCTTCACTCCAGATGGAGGAAGTTTGCAACTCTGGTGCCGCACCTTGTTTCACAGGTTTGTAGCAGTAGCCAGCTCTGAACACTGGAGGATCATTGCTCAGGTGTTTTCTTGCTGGATGGTGCGCATCTCTTTGACGGCGATGAATAGTGGTGAGCACGTCAAAGGTGAGAGAATGCAACTCTCTCTCCCTCAGCTGGGAGGAGAAGCCCTTCAACAAAGGGAGTTCACCGCCTGACTCCCCTCCATCGGCACTATCCTTTTCTAGCACGTAGCTGAGGAAAAGCTCCAGGAAATTTAAATACTCTTCATCTTCCAGCTCAAATTCCCAGGTGCCAACCACCGGCAGGGAGGGCTGCTCACTCTCCTTGGCCTCACCTGGGTGACTCTCCTCCTGAATGACGCTTTCAATCTTAACAGCAGTCTTCTTTGCATGCTTTCTCAACTTTTTTGCTTTTTTGCCCCTGCAAAGAACACCACAGAGCACAGAATAAGCCACAACATAAATATGTGATACCTCAGTGTAATGGCAGTGCTACTATTCCACGCTGGCTACCTTGTCTTGGCTCTGCTATGCACTTCAGGAGAGATAGCGTCAGATGTATTATCCGCTAGGTCTCCATCACTGCACAATGGGGGGTACCCACAGTCAGTTAAGGTGCTGGTGCTCAGACTTGTACCCAGTGAAAGTTGCCTCAACACAGCCATCCCATGTTTGCTTCCCCTGTCCTCCTCTTCCTCCTCCTTCTCCCACAGATGGAGCTCAGGGGTGGCCAGGTGCCTCTGCAAACGCCCAAGATGTTTTCTTCTCTGCCTGCGTTTGTCTTGAATCACAATCATCATCACCTCGTTCACCTCCCCTTTTTCACCCTCTGGAGAACAGACAGAATAACATATAGTATAGTGACATTTGTTTAGGAGGTCATAGATAACAAGTAGAATATATAATCCTAAATCTCTGTCCATGTTTTTTACTAAAAGAAATACACAAAGCTTTGAGGATTTAAAACCAAATTAGTAATATGTAACTAGCAGTAATCAAAGTACAGAGATAGAGGTGTTATGACCCAGCTCAAAGACCATAGCAAATTATCTTTAGGGTCGGTACATTTGCCTTTTTTTTCCCCATTAGATTCTCAACAGAACTCAAGTATCAATAATGTAATGTAGCCATCAATAAAGTTAAACCAAAGTAAAATAAAAGAAATCCATCAATGTGTTCAGGTGTCCGTACCAATGACATTGCACTGCCTCAGTCTCTGCAGCAGTGAGTTGTACTTTTCTCTCAAAGGGACTCTGACAGACTCTTCCTCCTCTGGGAAGGCTTGTACCAGCGTGTCTGCCACCTAAGAACAAAAACAGAGGAGGATGAGAAATGTACTCACTCAAGGTCATTCTGTGTTACTTTGATAAATATCATCTATGTAAGAATAGGCAAGAAAAAGTCAAATCACCAGAGAGATAGGAGGAAGTTCAGACACAAGGCTGAGGAGTATGTCCTGGAGGATCTCTTCAGCATTGAGGAAGCAAGAGAAAGGCAGAAAACGACGGGCCCAGCGGAGAGCGTCAACACAGGTAGGTATCACTTCTGAACCCTCAGGGATCTGAGAGACACAAACACACACACACACACACTTATTTAAAGGGCACAAATGGCTGAGGATATTTATACAAAAACATGTCACACAGTCGAACACAAATGGAATACCTGTTCATCTCTGTCATGCTGTCTGGCAGCCTGATACTTCCTGCAGGAAATGGAGAGCTGATCCCTGACATGAAGCATCCAGCATAAACCACAGAGCTCCCTAAAACAGACTACAGACAGAATACAGTTATAGTTAGAATATAGTTTTATCTGGAAAAGTGGATCATTGATTATTATATTCGCAATTCACAATGAGTGGAATCTTACTAATTGTTTCAATGGTGTCAGGGTCCAGGTGACCGTCTTTATTAGGCCCCCGTCTGAAAAATCCACTGCGGGTGATGAACTTCATCAGGCCTTCTGGGAAAGGGTTTTCTTTTTCAGCAGCTGATGGATAAGAGTACTTTTTCTTGATCTGAAAACAATATCAAATATTTGCACTATTTAGGATGTGGCAGGGCACTTCATACCAAAGCGTAATTACATGCATGTCTGACAGGTTGTCTATTTTGCAATATACGACCAATGATAATTTTGAGTTTCAAATGTAGTAAAATGGAAAATACTTGGAATTTCTCCAAAAATGTAATTGTTGCCAGCTTGTCAGTCACACTTGGGGACGTTTAATCCTCTTATTAAACCAGGCAGAAACCCCTCAGTCCTGGAAAGTACCTTGTGTAATATGTGTCTGGCACGGCGCAGGTGGCTGATGTACCACTGGGCAGCAGGATGGCAACAACGTGCAGATCTCAGAAATAACAGTAATCTTTGGAGAACTCCAGACACTTTGTGACGTGATGCAACTTCTGCAAACTGCCCTGTTGTCCATACTGGGTCCTAAACAGGAGACACACACAACATTTAATTATACTAAAATGGACATATGTAAACATATTGCATGCAAAGGTTGATCTTCTGTGTTATGTACCTGTGTGTTGGGGGAAGGCTGAGGGCAATAAAGAGGTGGGGAAGGCAGATACAGTCCATTGGGCACCAAGGTAGGCAAGCAAGAACACAGGGTTTTGGCTCTGTCCAGCAAAGAAGATAAAGGTGATGATATAACATTCACTCCGGCCATGACTGAGGCCTTCAGAATCTCCTGTATGGAAACTTGTAACACATCCCAGTCTTCTCCTTCCAAAGGGTCTAGTAAAGAGTTGACAAAAAGCATAAATTAAAATGAAAGGGGTCGATGTGGGTTGTGGTCATTTTTATAGTTGTCAGGTCTCACCAACCTCTAAAGCTCTCGTCACCGTCTTCATCTCTGTGCTCTTGGGAGTCGGACTTGTTGTCAAGAAGACACTCCAACTCAACCTGAAAAATGCTTCCTGGTTCTAAAATTGGTGGGAGATGGAGCTCTCTCCTCCTGAGTCTGTCATAAAAGATGTCATTGAGATGTAAGTGTAAACGACAAAGGTAAAACTGAATTTAATATATTCTAATGATGGCAACAGAAAACTCATTTGGTTTCCTTAATAATACTTTTCCACTGACCGGGTGAAGTCAAAGTGGTCATTGCAGTAATTCCTATAGGCCAGGCCCAGAGACGCTGCTGTTTTCCAGTCCCCAAGATGGTAAGCCAACCACACAGTCTCAGGAAGCAGACCCCCCAGAAGGAGCAGGTCCTGGGCGTAGTCTACTGTCCATACTTCTGACAGCTGCTGTTGTCGCACAGCTCTAGCCACCTCCTTCTGGCACAATGGCACCAAGCGCCCGACACTGGGGGCTGGGAAAGAACATATTAGCAAATAGCAATATAAATAAAGACATTTTTTTACTTACAAATAATTATAGAAACACACCATGTGGTAGATGTAGTGGAGGCAGGACGGCCACATGGTGAGGGGGCATGATGTAGAGGGGTTGGTTGGTGAAATAAGAGGCCATGAATCTCCCCAGGGTCTGAACCACGGCACAAGCTGCATCACAGTGAAGGTCTATCGGCAACCACGAGCAAGGAAGAGAGTCTGCTGCAGGTCATAAAGACAGAGCTGATGACAAACATCTTACTATTGGAGTGAGGTACACTTCTCGTTCTCGAGACAGAAGGCAGTTCTCCACACGGTCTACACATTATATGCTGGTGCCAAAGACAACCCGTTATTGACCATGGCTGACCTGTTATGGAGGTCATGTTGTCCTTCTGGTGTCCAGCCCTATGCAGGATCAGGCGGGCCATGTGGTCCCCCAACTCCTGGGCTTCTCTCAGACGGTACTCGGATAACAAACTGTATAGGAGTGCCAGACAAAGCCGTGTCTCTTTGAAGACACTACGATCAGAGCCTAACAAAAAAGACACATGATTACCATTTCAGACTGAATGTCACCACATGTACTTAAATGGAAAAACTAAAGCAGTGGTTCTTACTTTTGTTACTCTCCTCACAAATTTGTGACCGCCATGTATCAGCACTTTTTGGGTACAAACCACACAGAAAAAGATGTTCGCCTAAGGGGAGAAGAATGACAAGAACAATTATTCAGATATATTCAGACATAACTCTTAGGCTTTTCTTCAATCTGAACCACTGTTATTTTGAATTTGGTTTGTTTCATTTAAACTACCCAATGTAATTCTTGTAGCTGATACAACAACCATAGATAAACAGCCCTTCTGTTACAGACCTGGGTAACTTAGCAGTCCAGGGCCCTTCTCTAGCCTTTCTCCTGTAGCCTGCAGAGCAGTTTGGATCTGGGCCATGTTGACTGCCAACTGTTGCTGTTCCTCCTCCCAGCCATCACAGCCTTTAAAGCTTTTCAGTTCCTCCATATACAGCTGGGTGATATTATAGACCCATTGCCACACTCCCAACAATCTGGCCAAAATAGAAAATCAAACCTTGTTTGATTTGAGATAACCAAAACATGACATGCAATGACTGGCATCCACAACAACAATTAATCGAACTAGCTGCTCATAAAGTAACAGTGACACATAAAAAGCCAGAGACAGTCTGTACCTGCTGGATGGTCGCTGGGGAACAGGTTGTGCCTGCTGTACAAAACTAGATTTCTCTTCCTTCTCATCCTGTAACAGAGGCACATGGTGTACATCCGAAGGCCAGAGCTGTGGTGGCTGGGATTCCTTCTCTGCAGAGGACCAGACATGTCTTTGCTGCAGGCTGTAGGTGTGGTCAAGAGAATCAGAGACCTGCTGCAAGATCAGTAGGACTGTGGATAGACTGTGGGATGATAACTGACAGTGACCAGTCTGGTGGGACTCAGGGTTAGGGGTCAGCATGAGGTATATCAGCCGTTTACTGAGCTCTACCACCAGCCCCAGGCAGCTTGGCCCATCTGAGTGAGCGCTATCCCAGGGAAGAAAAGAAAGAAGGGCTTTGAGAAGGTGCAAGAGGCAAGTAGAAACCGAGGTGTTCTTTTTCCCTGTGTGGACCGGGGAGCTGGGCATCAAATGGAGTAAAGCAGCAAATCGTACCACACAGTAGAGAGTGTGCTTGAGCAAACAAGTTCTGTTCTCCACAGCATTTCCTAGAGACATGCCAAAAGCCCAGGCTGTTAACAGCTTACTCTGGATTTTCCCAAGTTCCCGATGAAGGAGAGGAGTTTTCCTCCCTGTTTCAATATAGTCAGTTTCACAATCTGGGCTAGTAATAAGTCCAGTGTCAGTCTGTGTGTCCAAGGCATGGAGTGTGTCAAACATTGAGGCAAACTCCAGACGGCCGCCATCCTCCATATGAGAACCAGCAGGAGCTCCGTCTAAATCAGAGTCATCCTCAAAGAAAGTCTAGGAAACCACAGAGACAA